CCGGCGCGCACTCTCGCGCCGTCCCTGGCTGTCCCCTCTCTCGCGCAACTACCGGCGCACAAATCATTCGAGTGGCGATTGCGCATGCCCTCAAGAACGGCGGCGATACCGAGGTGCCCCTCCAGCCGCGCCACGTCGAGCGGTGTCCTCCCCGTCTTGTTTGAAAACTCGAGGCCGTCGAGGTAGGCGAGCGCGCAAGCCACGACAACCGCGGCAGAGACACCGGCGGAGGCGGCGTAGTGCAGCGGCAGGTTGCCGCCCTGGTCGGGCTGCGCGGCCAGCTCCGCGTGCAGCAGCAGCCACAGCTGCTTCTGTTCCGCCGCGGGCCCCTCGACCATGGCCCAGTGCAGCGCGTTCTTGCCAGCCGCGCGCGCCGGGCTGCACCCCTCGGCGCCGCGCCCGTTGGAGGGCGCCGGGCGGCGGCAGACCGCCTTGCTGGGGTTGATGGGCTGGGCAGCCTCCGCGGCGTGCTCTGGCGCCGAAGCAGTCTCCTCGTCGCGCCGCGGCCCCGACGCCGCCGACACCACTGCTCCTGACCCCTCAAACTCGAGCGCGAGCGCCGCGCCAGAGTTGGGGCCCGTCGTGTCGTCGCCGGAGACGGTAGGGGCGCAGGGCTTCGCAGCAGCGACGTGCTCCTCGAAGGTGATCGGCCGACGCACGCCGCGGATCTCAGCGCTGTACGTGTGAAGGGCTATGGTCAGCTGAGCAGCAGGCGCTCGCCCACCGAACACGCGCGCCGCGGGGTGAGAGTGGGGGCTGGGGTAGGGTTGGCGTGGAAGCGCACATGAGGTTGCGCAGCGCATAGTTTGGCACCACGTTGCGGTGTAGCAGCGACGTGTTGGTCGCTGGCGACGTGTCCCGCGAGAGGAGCCACTGCGTTATCGCGGCGCGCTCATAAGAGTGGCCGTCCGCGCAGACCACAGGATCCTCCATGATCTCCTGGGTGATCGGGCAGATGGCTGCTGGCAGGTCTCCCGCCGAGATCGTCTGCCGTTTACCCATCCTGCCCGGCCGGCCACCAGCCGCTGCAGAAGCGGCCACCCGAAAGCGACAGCGCCTGTTCCAGCACGCCGGAAAAAATGTTGGTCGGGCTTTGTTTCGTTTGGGTGGTAAAAACCGCTTGCTTGCCACGTAAGTTTGTCGGAAAATGGCGAGTAGAGATCACGCAAGCGAACCGACCCCGCCGGACCCCTGAAAGGGAAAGGAGCGTGTGGGACATGGCGTATTGGGCCAAGCAATGGCGAGTGCGAACCGGATGTCCACCGGCCGTCCTCTGCCCGGCCATTGCGGCAGCCTGGCTGGTTGGTCGTCTAGGGACCGCCGGAGTCGCCTCCGCCGAGAGTTCGACTGCTCGAAGGGTTCGACTGGGGTCTTCTTTACAGACCGCCCTGGAAGCAGCCTCGATGAGTGCGTGCTGGGCTGCGAACGCTGCGAACGCTGCCGGTTCGTGTCGTACAGCAAGCGGTTCGGTGATTGCTCATGGTACGAGAAATGCCCACTTCTCGTGAAGGGTGACGCGGGCCGTGCCATACCAACGGGCGGCAAGGCGATGACGCTGGCTTCCGACTATCAGACCGCCGAGGTTGGGCCAATGCGAAAAGCAGGAGGTTGTGGGCTCGACTGGTGGAAGATTGCACCCGGTGCCGCCCCGTTGACGCAGCCGCTCGCCGCAAGGAGTCGCCGCCAGGAATCGGTCTGCCTTGTGATGAGCGACTCGAGGTCGATCGGGGAGGCAGGCTACCATGGGATCGCGGCGGTCATCAACAGCCAGTTTGCACAGACGCACGGGTACCGCTTTTTTTACCTGCACCAGCCGTGCCTCGCGGCGCCCGCGGCGCCTACTCCCGCATCCAAGGCCTCGGCGCCCGGTGACGGTCAGGGAGCCTGCGGAATCACGTCATTCGGCGGCGACTGCAACGAGGCGACGTCCGGGGCGTGGCGTGCCCGCCAGCGAGGCATTCGGACGCTGGAGCACTGCGCCGCTGCCGCCGAGGGCTGCAAGTACGCAAACTATGTCTCCTTTTCTGCCCAGTTTGACGACTGCTCCTGGTTTAGTACGTGCGATCTCCCACATCTAATCGGTGGCGCAGCGTTTGCGACGCGCATCCTCCGCACAACCACCGCGCTTGCCGACCCCAAGCTCTGCTCGGCGTGCACTCACCCGACCCTCGGTGGGCGGGCGGCGCCGTGGTGTAAGCTTCTCACGATAAACCAGACGCTGATGCTCAGCCGCCGCGGCGAGGGTGGGCGCGGTCACGAGGGCAGGGGCGGCGCGCGTGCCGCCCGCGGCCCATCTTGTGAGCGGGTCGTGTACCTGGACAGTGACGTGTATGTGTTGCATCCCAATCGGAGCCTGGGCGCGCTGCTCGACTGCGCCGACGCGACGCTCTCCGTCTTCAAGAATGCTCCTTACGATTCTGGACCACTGAGCGCAGTGATGGTCTGGCGCAACGGCGGCGTGCACGCACAGCGTTCGCGAGAGCTCCTCAGCGAGTGGTGGGGCACCGGCCGCTTCCGCCACTTACACCACGCCCACCCGTTTGAGCAAGACGCGCTGCAAAAGGAGCTCGCGGTGCGCTTCCCGGAAGAAGTCGCGGTGCTGCCTCACCTGGACCACTGGTTTGCACACGTTGGCTCCTTCCCTCCCGGCACAGCGAACCAGCGGGCGCAGAGGATGCGGGATCATGTGCGCGCCCACGGCATCGAGCCCAGGGTAGCACTGTCGGTGCTGGAGCACGGCGAGGATATGGTTATATAATCCATTTTTTGGTTGTTTCATCGTCGTCGTCACAACTCCCGCGCGACCTCAGGAACCAGCACCGGGCAATACTACGCGACTCGCGAGCAGTGACGCTGCGCTAGTTTCTTTTCCACAACACACCAATTCTTTTAAAAGAAAAGAAAGAAAACAGACAACCCAAAAGAGTGGAGGGATGGCGGGAGGACGGCACGCCGCTACCACACAAGTAAAAAATCTTTTCCGGCTCCCCGGTGGTGAGCCGGTGTGTGTGCCAGTCCGCGCCAGTCCGCGCCCTTGTCGTGCCTCCACGCGTCGGCCGTCCACCCCGTTCGTGGGGGAGGGCCTAGCTCTCGTCTCCCCTCGGGAGGGGGGGGGGGCAGGACCCGGATTCCCCGACGGCCCCGCCTCTCCTTCCCGTCGCTCCGCGACGGGTCGTAGACTGCCCAGTAACCGCGTCGCCAGCGTGCACACACCCGGGGCGGAGGGTGCATGCGATCCGAATGGTTTTTTTGCCCGCTACTGACTGACTCGGGAGGCGAGTAGAGGCCCCGCCCACCCCGCAGAGTACCCTAGGAATCCTATCTTATTAGGAACAGTGCAACAACAGCCCGGCAAGACTGCCGCTGTGTGTAGGTGCACTCTGCCTGAACGAACCGAAACGTCTCTGAACGTTCATCCAAATCCTTACAAGAGACATGGCGCCCTCGAGCATCCCCAGCTCAAACGGCTCCACCATTAACCCAAGAAATTGCAGCCGCGGTACAACGCCCTCGAGCATTGTGCCGTTGTAGCCGGCCGCGAATCCACTCGTCAGCGCAAGGGCGGCGAGATGAAGGCAGAGATGTCCTTCGCCGCGTGACACTCCCTCAACAGTGCCCACGAGTACTCGTGCTTCTTCCGGCAAGGCTGCGATGGACATGCTGCGTGAGAATTCCGCGCCTCTTCCACGACAGTTCAACTTTCGTGCGATGAGGGCGCAATGACAGTTCGTAGCTGGCGGCGCTTGCGCGACGACGGCGAGAGGGAGGAGTCAACCCGCGCTCCTTGCCTTAGCCTCGGCCTTGTTCTGGTAACGGCGTCTGCGTTGCTCTTTGGCATTGTCGCTGCATTCATCAAGGCCATCGATGTCCCTACGCTCGTCCTGCAGCTGGTCCGCTCGCTCATTGAGTGGTTACTAGGGATCATCGCCGCCCTGGTCTACCGGAAGAAGCAGCAGCCCACCTCGAATCTCGTGCTCCTCCTCTTCGGGCCTGCAGAGCTCCGCGGCTGGCTTGTGCTGCGAGCTTTTCTGTACTGGGTCTTCATCGCGGGCTGGTGGTTTGCGCTCGCCTCGATGCCTATGGGCGACGCGACGACGATTGTGTACGTGGGCCCGGTCTTTACAGCCACGTTCGCCTTCCTCTTCCTCGGCGAGACGGTCGATTGGAGTTTCTACCCGATCGTTGCGCTCGACGCCGTCGGTCTACTCCTCATCACGCAGCCCAGCTTTGCCTTTGGAGGGCCGGCAAATGATGGATCGTACCAGTCCGGCGCGCTCAGCGCGCTCGCGTCCGCCGTGGTGGCCGGGCTGCTACCCGTGTGCGTGCGAAAGAGCCGCATGTGTCTCTGGACCGCCGTGAACCATTGCTCATCTGCGCTGTCGGCGTTGGTGTTCTCGCCCGCCGCGATCCTCGCCTGGCTCTGGTACAAGCCGGCGGCGTGGGCCGAGGCGTCGGCGGGGCTCGGCGAGCTGCTGCTCGTCCGAAACTGCGCGCTGCTGGTGGGGGCGACGCTGGTCGGCTTCCTCGGCCTCTCGTTCCAGACGCGTGGCTACCAGCTCGAGCAGGCCGCGCGCGCCTCGGTCATGACGGTGCTCGAGATCCCCTTTGCTTACGTGCTGCAGTATGCGCTCTTCCACGAAGAGCTCTCCCTCCTCGGCCTCCTCGGCGTTGTCGTCGTGTGCAGCGCGACGGTCCTGAACCTTGTCCGTCGACAGCAGCTGAACGACGCGGCAGCGTCATAGTCAACAGCGCAAACCTCCGCTATGACCTATGTTCGTAAGAGCCACATCCACCGAGAGAGAAGAATACGATAAATGAATAAATAGAAGTCATCTGCATGAGCCTTCCCGATTTTACTTTTTCGAGGCTTTAGATCTAGTAGTACTAGTAGATCAGCCTGTCTGTCTGAGAGAGGGACAAGCGTCGCAGAGCCGTGTAGGAGCTCAGTTTGTCTGAGAGAGGGGCGTTTGATGTGGGTGTATTTCAGGCATGCCTTTTATCTACTCGCATACGCTCACCCATAGAATTGACTCTCTCACCGCCACACCCACAAACCCATGCCCACGACGAGACACGTTGGTGACACGTACCGATCGGCTTCAGCTGAGTAGCCGGCGATTGTGCCACACTGCTCATTCATGACGGTGTGGGCAGCAAGCTTGCACAGCGCTACCTTGGTCCCTGCAGGCGGGACGCAGCGGCTCGCATCGACATCATCATCGTCATTTGCCATCTCGGCATCGTCGGCGCATTCGTGCTTTGCTCCGTACATATCGACTAGTGCAGCGCGGCCGGAGCTGGTTTGGAGCTTCGAGACGAGCTCGAGCACCTGCAGGCGTGGGGGCTGCGACTGGTTGGGCGCGAGCGGTACGTGCGTCAGCGGCAGTGGCAGCAGCGGCTTGCCTGCGGCAGCTCATCTGTGCCGGCCGCATCTAGCACCATGCTCATAACGCTTTTTGTCTCCGACCCTCGGCGCAGGTTCTTCTTGGCATTGGCACGCTCTTCGCCGCCGACGATCTCATACGTGTCCCCTTGCATCTCCGCTGCGTGAACACTCCATTCTTCCACCACGAGCTCGAGTGTGTCGGCCAGCGCTCGAGAAGTTGCTTGTTTGGGCCGTGCGACATCGAGGAGACTCTGCAGCATCTTGACGGCGTAGCCGTCGCCATCGTCGGGGTCCTCGCCAGCAACGGCTCCGCTTTCGCCCACCTTCCTCTTGCCGCCACGGTGTCGGAGCGTCGAGAGCATCGTCGCTAATGCGCGCGAAACGGACGGATGACGGTGCAACTCCGAAACCACCCCCTCACTTGCGGGGGAGAGACTTAGCGTGACTCGGGTATGAACACTCTCCACATTGGGCTCTCCCCCCCTTCTCGCCAACCCACTAAATTCTTAACCGCGCCGCCGACGTCGGTCGCGCTGGACGGCAGCGCGTCCCCAGCCTCGCCGTCGCTCTTCTCGCCGTCGCTCGCCTCACCGCTGGTATTAGGGGCCGCGCTGCCGGCACCGAGCGTCACCTGCCTCCACGTCTCTTCCTCTAAGGAGAGGAGAGGCTCGGCGTCCGGGTAGCCGTCGTACTCGACCGCATCCACACGAGCCGGCCGCCCGAACCCTCCTCCCGCCACGTGATGGTGGCCGACCACCACCCTGCTCGCGTAGGATCTCGACGTGTGCCTGTCTCGACGACAGCGTGCCCGGCCAGCCTCGCCGTCGCGTCCAAGCGCAGCCGCTCCGCCGCGCCTCCTGCGTCTCCGCGGGCTGCCGCAGCACATAGTGTCGGCCGTACTCCGCCACGCCCGCGAGGACGTCAGCCGCTCACCGTCTCGACCGCCGCCTCGATTTGGCGGAGGGGCTCGACCCGTCGTTCCGTGACCTTCCGCGCCAGCGAGGGCTCCTGGTGCGCCGCCCGTCGGTCGACGCCCTCGCCCCTGCGCTCCACCAACGACGCCGTCGCTGTCCTCGCCGACGTGACCGTGATCCGAGGCCTCCAGACCGCAGACGCCATTGGATGCAGCCGAGATGCAAAATCCAGAACCACCGTTTTTTATGACCAATACGAGCCGTCCCCCCCTGACCCCCCCCTGACCCCCCCTGGACGCGTCCACCCTCCGTCCAATCGAGCCGATCCCTCTTTTACATACATAAATAAATAGAGCAGTCATCTCCAGGGAGAGTGTGATCTGTGATCTGTGTGTGGTGTGTGTGTGATGCCATGCGTGACCTAGTAGTGTCCCCAGCTATGGGCGTGTCCACGTTGGAGCCAGGTGTGGTGTGGACGCGAGAATAGCTCCGCCGTTCATGGAGGCTGCAACCGATGCGAGTCGACTGCCAGGGAGAGGAGAGATGGGCGACGCACACGAACACAGAGGGACAGTGCGCACCCCGCCCCGCTCGCAGGGCGTGCATCACACAGGTGGACTGTGTGACTCCTCGGGTTTCTGGGACTCGTGCCAAAAAAGAAAGAAAGAAAACAGACAACCCAAGGGAGGGATGGGAGGACGGCACGCCGCCACCACACAAAACAAAAACAACTCTAAAAAAAATTCTCTCTCTCTTCTCCTCTCTCTCCCCACCACACGACAGGGATTTTTAACCATTTTCCCTCGGGAGTAATTTTTCTTTTCCGGCTCCGGTGGTGAGCCGGTGTGTGTGCCAGTCCGCGCCAGTCCGCCTTAACGTCCAGAATTCTTTTCCTCGCGCCTGCTGTAGAGAACACACGTCAGGCCGAGGGGTGATGTCGCGGGCGCGCGATGCATCCGCCTCCAGAATCTTCAAGCTCTCGCCGGCAGATTTTGGCCGCATGCAGACCGCGGTGCGCGAGCGGCTCCGCGAGCGCGGCTCCAGCGCGAGCGACGAGGTCCTGCCAGAGTATGTGATGGTGATGGTGCAGAACCAAAAGACGCAGGCACAGGTGGCGTCGGAGCTCAAGGCCTTCCTCGGCAGCGAGGCCTCGCCATTCACGGAGTGGCTGTGGTCGCGGCTCATCGCGACAGCCGACGGCACCCCCTCCGCCAAAGCCACTGCCGACAAGACAGCAGCTGCGGACGGTGCGGGGCGGCGGCGAGGAGGCGGCGAGGGCGGCGGCGCGGCGAAACAAGCCAGCGCGGCACGTGGCGAGGGCGCAGGCGGGTCACGTCGCGCCATGGAGAGCGAGCGCGAGCAGCGGGCGCGCGAGTGGGAGGAGTGGGCCGAGGAGAAGAGGCGCAAAGAGCGTCTTCAGAGAGGCAGCGCCGCCGCCGCCGCCGCCGCCGCCGCCGCCGAGGCCGAGTCGGTGTCTAACGAGCGGAGAAAGGGCGCGCTGGCGCGTGCGTCCGACCCGTCGGGCAACGGCCGCGCTGCTGCGTCGGGCTCTGCCGGCCAAGGCGGCGCGGGCGGCTCGTTGTTTTCCCGCCTCGGCTCGAGCGAGCTCGCGGCGAGCGAGCCGCTGCAACTGGCGGCCGCCACCGACACGACGGGCGACTCGCTTCTAAGACTAGTACCTGGTCTTTCCCCTCACCCTTACCGTCATGTCCCTGCCTCTGTCTCGGACTCCTAACCTTCCCCGCTATCTCTTACTCTGATAAATTCTGTCGTCTCACTTCTCACCCCTTTCTTATATCTTTCTCTCCATTTTCTTCCCCGTTTTCTCTTCTCCTTCTTCTCTTTACCTTACTTATCT